TTCCTGTAGCACTTTCCTGACTTCTTCCTTATTTTTCTCAATTCCAGTGTATAGTGTTTTGATATATTTTATAATCATTTTTCTGAACTCCTTTTCAGACATTTCCAAAGCCTGCCCACCTTCCAGTGTGGAGTGTACATCTACTTCCAGCTCATTTGCCTCAATCACTGTATCTCATTTCTGGACATGTGCTGATATGGTCATCTGTTTCTGTTTTTTGGAACTATTCAGGAGTTATCTGTGGCCTTAATACTTAGAAGGGTGTGTATTTTGGTATTTTTTATGTTTTCTGATTGCCTCTGGGTACATATGATCAGGATGTAGGCTTCCCTTTTCACACTCCTTCCTGAGAAATTTCAAGATGTCTCTGTTTGTCATTGTGACATAATTCAGGATTTAATTTTTGGCCTATTTCCTCTTCAGTCTGCCTGTCCCACTCCACAAGCCCCATTCAGGCCTTTTTCTTAGTGAGAAATAGTTTAGGGCCAGCTGTGGCTGTTTTGCACTACTCTTCGGTTTTAAGTGGAAACTGCCACTTTAAATTTCGAGGAGATCTGTGCACATGCATAGTAGAATCCTCCCGTGGTGTGGTGTCCACTTGCTCAGGCACCCCCTCTAGTCACCAGAATGGAAGTACACAGACAGCGAGAGACCAGTGAACAGATACCAAAAAAAGATTGTCCACACCTTTATCTCCGCAGTGCTGTCCAGCATCCATGGCTGCTCTGATCCTTCCCCCACTTAGTCTCTCCCAAGATGGCAGATCCGGGAGCAGCTGAGCATCTTGAATTAGAAAGCAATGGATTTTTTGCTTCTGCTACAAATTCCCTTAGCTGTAAGCCTTCCAACCTTCTAAATATTCCTTTACATGTGGTTAGCGTTCTGGGACCATCCCCTGAAACTGCTTTGTCTGGTATTCTGTGTTGTTGCTGATGGAGCTCCTAACTACACATCTACCTGATCCACCATCTTGTAAGTTCTCTCCCTCTGCACTTTTTGAAGTCCCTTTAAAGTTTTGTTTATTCATTATCTGTTGATAGACATTAGGTAGTTTCAGTCTTTCGAATGTTAACAGTGCCACCAAGTAGTTTCTGAATCCAAGGTCACACTGACCTTTCAGTCCAGTGCATTATCCTGCAGTGCCACACCAGGACTCAAATAGTGCTGTGGTGAACCTTAATATACATGTTACTGTAATGTTCATATTACTGTCTTAAAGTCTAGAATATATATATGAGGGTAGATCAAAAAGTACTGCTTCAAATCATAGATACTTTATTAAACAAAAATATCAAAATGTGAAGCTGCTGTTTCTCAACAGAGCCTCCATCTTGGTCTGTACACTTGTGCTTCCCAGATCTGGTAGTGCTGTAGGATAAGTTCTTGACTACTAACATCAAGGTTGGCAATTCAAATCCACCATCCACTCTAAGGGAGAAAGATGAGGTGCTCTCCTCCTTTGTAATGATTTGCAGTGCTGGAAATCTTATTCAGGG